TATATATATATATATATATATATATATACATATATGTGTGTGTGTGTGCGTGCGTGCGTGCGTGTGTGTGTGTATCACCGATCCCACGCGCTCTATAGCTCTACGATGGATCATGCACAATTCATTTATATGCGATGTCCCCGTGCCCGCGTGACGGCAGTCACGTATACGAGTTGCTTTACCCACGTAACTTTTGCTTCACCACAGGGGCTCTATCTATGTAGGCCATTGTTAGCGAAATCCTACACAGGTAGGGATCGAGCCTCTATGGCGGAGCAAAGGGCTACATGGGTAGAGCCTCTATGGCGGAGCAAAGGGCTACATGGGTAGAGCCTCTATGGCGGAGCAAAGGGCTACATGGGTAGAGCCTCTATGGCGGAGCAAAAGGGCTACATGGGTAGAGCCTCTATGGCGGAGCAAAGGGCTACATGGGTAGAGCCTCTATGGCGGAGCAAAGGGCTACATGGGTAGAGCCTCTATGGCGGAGCAAAGGGCTACATGGGTAGAGCCTCTATGGCGGAGCAAAGGGCTACATAAGTAGAGCCTCTATGGCGGAGCAAAAACTCCATTCGTAGAGTCCTATGGCAGGGCGATAGGCTAACTAAGTAGAGAGCCGTTGTGTCGGGGTGAAGAGCGACATTGGTAAAGCTAGTACACGAGCAGCATTACTGTCCCTCACTACCCAGTACCGGCCTGCAATACACGCCCGTTTCTTCAAGCTACATCGCACCTAGCTCCACTTGGTACCGGCCTGCAATACACGCCCGTTTCTTCAAGCTACATCGCACCTATAGCTCCACCTATGTAGCCTGCTGTGCGCACTGCAAGCGAAGCTACCTTCACTAGCTACACGGGCGGAGTTACCTTCGCACATAGAGACCATTAGAGTAATCCAGGATAGATAGGTTATGTTATCTGGGCAGGGTTATGTATCTACCTCACACTTCTAGCTTCTGTTTAAGATTAGGGTCAGGGTTATGTTATGGTCAAGTTAGGGTTAGGGTTAGGTTAGGGTCAAGTTAGGGTTGGGATTAGGATAAGGTCAAAGTTAAAGGTTCCGGGTCTATGGTAAAGGTTAGAAGCTATATGGTTATGGTAATGGTTAGAATTAGGGTTATGGTTAGGATTGGGGTTAAGGTGATAACGATGATTTCTATACACTACAGGGGTTCTAAAGTGGTTCTGAGCCGCTCTACAGTACAGTATACTGCGTTATTGCTTCCACAGTGCAGCAATGTGCGGCACCAGTGAAGGGTTTGATACGATAACCTCAGGAGTATACGGATAAAGAATATATATTTATGTACTTTTATTGATATATCTCCATACTCTTGTCCTTATATGACCAAGAGCTATAAATCCCATATACTCTTGGTATATCATGTACTCATGACAAGGTTACCCTGCAATAGTCAGGATTCCAACCTACCTATTACAGGGTTGCTTTGTCCTATTCTGTACCCACACTGTTTAGACGTTTGGTTAGTCTCACAGCCGCAGCGGGCTACTGAGCTTGCCCCGAATTTTTTTCGCAAGTCGCACGCGAGTCGTGCGCCCCTACTGTATAGAGCTTTTCTTCTAGAGCTTACCGAACGCCTCAGGGCATCACCGCCTAGCTGCTAGCTCTAGTTAATTCCCTACCTTCATTGCATTACGAGATCCAATAACTACAATGTGCGTCAGTGTGCATGCGGTGACGCTGTGTGCTGTACAGCAGTATTTAGGCAACAGCCAGGTGGAATCGGCAGGTGATTTAGAGTAGATAAACATTGACAGACGCACTGACTGAGAAAATTTGACTGTATTTACTATCAGCATTATTTTTTTCAGGAGTAATGTACTGTTAATATCGCGATTTGCTTTACGTTTTTCTGCCTTATTCGGCTACACATCATGCAAGAAGCAGGCACGCACGCATGCATGCACGCACGTATAACTCTAGTACTATAGCCCTTCGCTCCGCCGCAAGAGCTCCTGCGGCGGAGCGAATGGCTATAGTACTAGAGCTAGCACGCACGCACCCCGGCACGCACGCACGCACCCCGACACGCACGCACGTACACACGCACACACGCACACATACATACAGGCCCTTGGAGGCTCAAGTTGCAAGAAGAGTATAAGAGCGAAGCGCTTCTTCTTGAATCTTCTTGAATACTCTTCTTGATACTTGAGCCTCTAAGGGCCTGTGGTTAAATGTATGTATGTGTGCGTGTGTGCGTGTGTACGTGCGGGCGTGCATAAAATTACCTTCGATGAGTTCCCCACGTCAAAGCACAGGCCCTTGGAGGCTCAAGAAGAGTAAAATAGCGCTTCGCTCTTTTACTCTTCTTGAAACTTGAAACTTGAAATTTGGTCAAAGGTATTTTCAATTTTCTCGCAAACCTCTACAGATATGTAAACAGGGTCTGTATGAAGGGAGGACGTTAATTATGTGTAACCTGTAAATCTAATAGTAAATTAATATACCAAAACGATTTCGTTATCGTTTAGCAGACAGTCTACATTTGATTTATTCATTCAGTGATACATTCTGAATCATTACATCTTGGAATGTATTCAATGTAACAAAAAAACAGATTGTTCTCGATTTGCACGGCTACGTACGCTGCCGTATCTTCATCCTTGGGAGCTATAGTACATCTAAGGTGATTCACAGATCAGGCAACGCGACTAACGTCAATACACACAGTACCTGAAGTATGATAGTCCTACAGTTTCTTAGAGCTAGCCGTGTCTACTAGACACAAATCTGCAGGTAATGTGTGACTCGGGGCATGTAACCTTACTCTGTTGGGTGGCCGATTTGTGTGCTGCGGACGGCTATCGTTCTACCTGTGTAGAAGCCTCTTTTGTAGCTACAGCAGCTCTGCTGCATAGCGAATGACGGGTTACACAAGTTGAGCTAGCAGATAGTTAGATACAATAATGGGCCCTAGTCTAGAAGACATGTTCCACAATACTTCATGTCTACAATACAATATACAATGGGTCATGTCTTCTAGACTAGCTCCCACAAATCAACCGCACATATACAATGGTAGCGCGCATTACCTTTGACTGATCGCTGGCTGTTGCTCCCCGACACTTCAGTTGGTATAAGTTCGCACTCACAGCCGACTGGTCCGCACAGGAATGCTGTAAGTTTTACCAGCAGACGATATAACTATGGCTGCGTTTCGACCACAAAACGAGTACGTTTTTCACCCCGCAGTCTCGCGTTTATCCGGTGTGATAGCGTTCGGAGCTCGTCCGACGATCGCACGCGAGCGCTATGTAAAGTAGCGCGTCAACACAGATTTATCCTAGGTATATAGAACACAGGTATACGTGCTGCAATCGAAGGGAATCGGGCGAGAGAGACCTTGCCGTTGCCACACCTGTCAACTGCTAGTACAAGGAGCGGACAAGCAACTATGCCGAATGCCGCCAGCAGTTCCTATCCGCCCACTTATTTAGCCAGCCGGTTCGCCGCTGTGCTATCGCTCATCCGCCCCCTACGTGATGTCATCACGTAGCCGCTTGGTAGGCCACGCGCAGGGGGAACTGCTAGCCTAACATACGACCCGAAGATATCTCTCTCTCTCTCTCTCTCTCTCTCTCTCTCTCTCTCTCTCTCTCTCTCTCTCTCT